GAATGACTCTAATGATGTCTACAAAGAGCAACAAGAGGCTTATGACAAGATGTATGAGACTTGGTTAAAAGGCATCAAGAGAATTAAATCTCTTGAATCTGAAAAATCTCACTTGTTAGAAGATAAGAAAATTTTGAATGACAAAATAAAAGTCTTATTATCTTATATGTCCAATAAGGACATTTTATTGAATAAAGCTTTAAATGAACTAACTGAGACTAAAGGCATTGTTGAAAGGTTAAATGTAGGTTCATACAAGCTTGATGAAGTTCTTAGACAACGGAAGATCTTTGGTGATAAAACAGGTTTGGGATTCTCTCCTGGTGCTAGCACCTCCAAACTTGAAGTGACCACCTTTGTGAAAGCCACTGAATCAGTTCAGAAAACTGTTGTTGTTATGATCAGACCTTGATGGTAAAAAGATTCATTCCTATCTGTTATTTGAAATGTCATATCAGACCAAACTGTTTTAAACTCATTTCGTATTTGAAAAGATGCATTGAAAATAATGATTTTAATTCGGTAAGGTCACTACTTCAGTCTCTCAGGTCACCACATTAGAACAATTTTTTTAAAAATTGTAAAATGTGGAAACCTAAGCTTAGTGCTAACTATCTTGTTGCCCATACTTCATTGCTTGCTTTTCAAAATGACTTATGGTACTTTGACAGTGGATGTTCAAGACACATGACAGGTAACAAAGCCTTATTAATTAATGTTGAACTTGTGGAAGAAGGTCATGTTACCTATGGTGATGGGAAAAAGGGTAAGATTCTTGGAAAAGTAGTTATTATTTTTTCCCAGTTTCCTAATATTGAATGATATATTTTATGTTGAAGGTCTAAAGGCAAATCTTATTAGCATTAGTCAAATCTGTGACAAAGATTGCGTTGTTCAATTCTCAAAAAATAAGTGTCAAGTTTTGAATGCTAATGGTTTTTCTTTGCTTGAGAGAAAGAGATAAAATGATAGTTGTTATCTTTTGTCTAACAATGTTTCTTGTTTAAGCACCAAATCAGATTGTGTTGACCTTTGACACATGAAACTTGGACATATGAATTTCAAATATCTCGTAAAGCTCTCCAAGAAGGATGCTGTTAAAGGATTGTCGAAGCTTGTGTTTCCCAAAGGTAAAGTTTGTGGGCCTTGTCAACAAGATAATCAAATTAAGAGCTCTCACAAAACTATATCTCATTTGACTACCTCACGTGTTTTAGAACTTCTTCATATGGATCTCTTGGGTCCAATGCAAACTGAAAGTTTAGGTGGAAAGATATATTCTATGTTTTGTGTTGATGATTTTTCTAGATTTTCATGGGTTGATTTTTAAAGAGAAAAATCTGATGCATTTGAAGCCTTTAAGTGTCTTGTGAAAAGGTTACAGGTAGAGTAAAACTGATGTGTTAAGAAGGTGATGAGGTTAAGAAGTGATCATGGGAGGGAGTTTGAAAATTCTAATTTTTCTAACTTCTGTGATATGTAGGGCATTTGGCATGAATTTTCTGTCCCTAAGACACCACAAAAAAATGGTGTTGTGGAAAGGAAGAATAAAGTTCTTCAAGAGATGGCAAGAGTAATGTTAAATGCAAAGAAATTGCCTCCAAGACTTTGAGCCGAGGCAATCAACATTATATACCACACCTTGAACAGAATTTTCTTAAGGAAAGGTACATCTCAAACTCCATACGAGTTGTGGAAAGGTAAGAAACCAAATGTCTCGTATTTTCATGTTTTTGGTTGCAAGTGCCGTGTCTCAAATGATAGAGACAATCTAGGGCAGTTTGATGCTAAGAGTAATGAAGGAATCTTTCTCAGGTATTCATCTAATAGTAGGGCATATAGAAATTTTAACATAAGAACAGATCGTATCATTGAATCTTTTAATGTGGTTTTTTCTGATCCAAAAGATTACTCACATTTTTCACAAGATGATGAAAATGATGATACGTTTGCTTCTACTGAGGTGACCACTGATCATGATGAAGTGTCTACTGTGACTCCTTCTGTAACAAATTCAAAAGATGAAGTGACTACCCCAGAACCTGAAGTGAGCACCACTGCAGCTCAACATGGATCTGCTTCTCAAAGACAAGGAATTGAGCTGTTGATTTAACAGATGAAATCACTCAAAGAAGAACTCCCAAGACTAAATATCCCCCCACTTGGATCAAGAAAGCTCATCCACCATCTTCTATTATAAAAAATCCTAAAGAGGTAATGGTTACAAGAAGAAAAAGGTTTAATGAAATTAATCACCTCTGCTATGTTTCTCTTTCAGAATTGAAAAACGCAAAACAAGCTCTGGAAGATGAGTGCTGGATCACTGCCATGCATGAGGAGCTTGAACAATTCGAGAGAAATGATGTATAGAGTTTGGTTCCTCAACTTGAAAAGATCAATATCATGGGAATAAAGTGGATCTTTAAGAACAAGCTTGACGAATTTGGAAATATTGTTCAGAACAAAGCAAGACTTGTTGCCTAAGGGTACACACAAGTTGAGGGGATTGATTTTGATGAGAGCTTTGCTCCAGTAGCAAGGTTGGAATCAATCCAATTTCTTTTGGGAGTTGCTTGTTGCTTAAAGTTGAAGCTCTACCAAATAGATGTGAATAGTGCATTTTTTAATGGCTTGCATATGGAAGAAGTATATGTGGGGTAACCTGCTAGATTTCAAAATCCATACAAACTAAATCATGGGTTCAAACTAAAGAAAGCATTGCATGGACTATAACGGGCTCCAAGAGCATGGTATGAAAGACTTGCATCGTTCTTACTTGATTACAAATTTGGAAAAAGTAATGTTGATAAAACTCTTTTCATTAAGCATGTTAATGGTGAGTTTCTTTGTGCTCAAATTTATGTTGATAACATAAGTTTTGGTTCCACTTTACACACACAATTGTAAGTGTAACGACTCCATTCTCATAAAAACATGCATAGTAAAAGTACATGTAAAAATAACATAAAAAGTTGGGCCCAAAATTTTCTTTTATTAAACCTATGTATTCTTTATACAAATATATACAAGATTTGTATCATATGCCAAAACTATCAAAATAGGGTGGACAGTGTAGCCATTTCTCTTCGTGTGCCGATGTCCATCCGACTGTGTCCTCATCTAGAACCTGCAAAAACATAGGGAACAACGGGATGAGCACAAAACAATGCTCAGTAAGTAAACCCTCTACTCAAATGTCCCCGTAACTTTCTCTCTAATTCTTTCCCTACCATTTTATTTGACTCTTTCTCTTATACAACTCTCTATTTTCTCTTTCTCATAACTCTTTTCTACTAACTCTCTTTCTAGTAAGTCATGGCCCCATCTGACCGGAGGCACGGTTGGGACTCGCTCCTACTCCCTGTGACTTCTACTCATTCTAGCCAATCGGACTTGGTTATGTATGGATTCGGAACCTTTGGCCATGTGAGTGCATAGAATCTCTCAGGTAAACTCGGGTATAGCCCTCATCCACATGTACTCTACGGGCTACACCACTTCTCTCTCTGATACTCTTGCCGCTCTCTCTATGCGGCGTACATGCGGGAATACTCTACCTGTACTCACAGGTTCCCCATCGCACAACCTACTCTATTCTCTTGTTTAACACTACTCTAGCTTTTACTCTATAGTTCTTATTCTCTCTTTCTCTTTACTCTTAGAGTAGCTTAAACTCAAAATCTCTACTCTTTCTCTACTCTCTTCTCTAGTACATACTTAATGCATAGTTAATGCACATAAATGACTCATGCTCATTAATACATTTATGGGATGCAATTATGCCATGTAACAAAAATTAAGGCTTTCTACTCTTACTTATGCTTCTCTTGAGCATTTCATCATACAACTCATGTGCATATAAAATTCTACTCTAACTCTAACTTTTCTCTTTTCTTTAATCATCCAAATGGGAGGAAACTCCCTCATAAACTCTAAATTTCCTGTCAAAAGAAAAAACACTTCCATAAGCTTGCTCAAAACTTCCTCCAACTTCAATCAAACTCAACCCAACATCAAGCAAATAAAACACTTCTCATAACTCAATTTATGTGTATTACTCATTTATAACTACTAATCTCATTCATCTCATTCAACAAATCTAATGAATACACACACACACACACACACACACACACACACAGATATATATATATATAACTCTACTCAAAGAGTTCTTAAATCTCAACTTATATTGAATTTACTTACCTTATGGGGAAAAAGCTTCTTTAACACTTCTTCTTTCCTTTGGGAGCTTGCCTTTTCTCTACAACTTAACCAACAACCACAACATAAGACTCTAATCAAAACATAATAAAACTCTCATCTAAAGCAAGAATCCTTACCTTAGGATGCTTTAGATTAAAACCCTACTAAAAGTTACTCAAAAAGGCTCTTGGAAATCCTTGGAAGATTGAAGGAATTTGAGAGAATGAAGGAGAATGAAGGAGGCGGTGAAATAGGAAAATGAAAGGTTCTCAAAGACTAAACCCCTTTAAATATCTCTTAACAACTCATTCTTCCCATTTTGCCCTTGCTCTTTCTTAGAAATTCCATCTATATCATTTGATTCCTTACAAACACACCCCCATACTAACATATTCTCCATGAAATTTCCTTACATTTTACTCCCCACTTTTCCTGCTAATTGGGGTAAAATGGTCAAATAGTACCCAAGGGAAAAAAATATCTAAAACTTAATAAAGTTTTCAACCGACACGTTGCCGCGGCGAAGAAGCTTCCTTCGCCGCAGCGAAACTGTTCAGCAGCTTCCCCCCGTGGCTTCAGCACCTCTTCGCCGCGGCGAAGAGTATCCTTCGCCCCGGCGAGCCCTGTAACATCAAAAACCTTCTAACTTTGACTAAATCCAAGGCAAAAACTCAACATATCAATACAACCTAAGACCAACCAACCACTATTCACAAAAACCGACTCAATTAAGAGCGAAGTAAGAAACATTAGCAACGTTTATAACCTTGTTGAAGGATGAGTTTGAAATGAGCATGGTAGGTGAATTAAACATGTTCTTAGGTCTTCAAATTAAGCAATTTGATAGTGGTTTGTTTGTATCACAATCAACATATGCAAAGAACATGCTTAAACGTTTCAATCTTGAAAGTGCAAAATATGCTAAAACACCTATGAGCTCTATCTTAAAACTGTCTAAAGATGTGAATGGGAAGAAGGTAGATAACAAATTGTTTAGAAGCATGATATGTAGCATGTTGTATTTAACTGCAAGTAAGCCTGACTTGTGCTTCAGTGTAGGTGTTTGTGCAAGATTTCAAGCTAATCCTATTGAACTTCATCTTACTGTCTTGAAGAGAATCATGAAACATGTTTCAGGAACAACTGACTTTGGATTATGGTTTGCATTCGATACTAATTCTATCTTGGTTGGAAGCTTGGACAACAAGAAAAGTACTTCTGGATGATGCTTTTTCCTTGGAAACAACGTGGTAACTTAGTACAACAAGAAACAAAACTCTATCTCTCTCTCAATAGCCGAGGCAAAATATATTGCTACAGGAGTTGTTGTACACAGTTTTTGTGAATTAAACAAATATTGAGTGACTATGGTTTTGATCAAGAACGTGTTACTGTTTTCTTTGATAATACAAGTGCAGTTAACATTTCACAGAATCAAATTCAATACTCTAGAACTAAGTACATTGATGTTAGGCATCATTTCATTAGAGTCTTAGTTGAAGATAAGGTGATCACCCTGGCTCATGTGAACACCGAATCTCAACTTGCTAATTTTTTTTACAAAGGCTCTAGACTTTCAAACTTTTGTGAATTTGAGAGAGGCCGTTGAGCTAACTCAACTTGAGTAGAGTTTATCTTTAAATAAGTGATGAGAGCATATTTTCCTTGTTTTAAAAAAAAAAATACAAGTCTATATGATTTGTGTTGAGTCATAAAAGATTTGATTCTCTCTTTGAAATATGAGTGGCAAGTGATGTGTCCACCTTGATTTTCACCTAAGAAGTATAACGGCTTTCTTTCATTTTTTTTAGTGCTTAATGCATATTTCTTGTCACCATGTGAAAGAGCTACCTTGTGTGTAGTGTAATAGTTATACTTGAGTAATTTTCTAGGATGTAAAGACCCCTATGTCCTTGAAAAATCTACCATGTAGAGAGCTACCTACTTGCAAGTGTGAAAACTACACTTGGTTACCTCTTGAGAGTTATGCCCATTAATCTCTTTTATATGAAAAAGAAGCAAAATTGTTGATATTAAGTTCAAAAGAAAAAGAATTATTCAAAAAGAAAAAAAGGCATGAGGGAAGGGGGAGTTGCCTTCTTGTTAAATCGACCAATGAGTCAAACTCACCCTTTGAGGACACTTCACACACATGATTAAGAATGTTTGCTTTTGTTGCTCATTTTTTACTTAAAGGAGTGATCACTTTAAGTTGTGAATTTTTTAATCGATGAGATACTCCTTATGCATTTCTTTCATAGGTTAAGAAATGATTTTTTTTTTTTTTATTTCTAATCAGATCAATATTACTTGTCTTCTTAAATCTTGTGAAAATTTGGATTGATCTTATGACCATGTTGCCATTATTTTCAAAGTTTAAAGTGTTTTTTGTCCACTGCCTTTGATTATAAGTCACCATATTAAGTTTTCATGTGCTAACTTGCTTGTTTTATGGTGATCTCTTTAGTCTTTTAGGTCGTCATTTTTTGCTGTGATGTTCTAAATTGTTTCTTAAATGCTCACATTGACATTTGTGTCACCACCTGATGATTAAAATTTTTATCTTCTTATGTTGTGTACCTACTCCTTAAGTGCGGTCATCACCTTGACATTGGTGATGCTAGTGTGTGCACCTTGCACTTAAGGTGCTCACCGTGCCTTTAAGTGACGGCTTGATTTAAAAGCCCCAAAATTCTTTACGATTTTACCTTATAAAGAGTTACCATTTTAACTTTTTCTCTTTCACTGAATTACTTGTGCTATCAATCTATTTTCTTCAAAAACCTCCATTGCTTCCACTCTCTTTGAAAAATCTAATCTGTTGATTTCTCATGGCTCATCAAGAGGATTTCATTGCTGATATTCGACGAGCAGTCAAGTCAAAGAAAAGATCAAGAATTGGTCAGACCTCATGAGCCAATGATGACCACTCCGCATCTTCAAGTGATAACTCTCCAACTGCGATGAAATCTGTGTTTAGCTCATCAACTACGAATTCGTCATCCTTTGATGAGCAACCAATCAACCAATTGAAGAAAACAAAGGCGTCTCCTGCAAAATCCAAGGGCAAACTAACTCAATCGAAGTGATCCAAGGGCAAACTAACTCAATCGAAGTGATCCAAGGGCAAGAAGAAAGAGAAAAACTTCTCAAATTGAGGGCATAGGTAAACACAAAACTTTTGGTTCTCCCATTGTTAAATCTAAGTTTAAAGATAGCAATGTTTTTAAGCCTATTATCTATGAATCACATGTTTAGTTGTCTAATTTTCTTAAAATTGCTCGTTTTGTGTCTAAAAGAAAATGTACAAGAACTGTTGTTCACCTTGTTGCTCCATGTGAAGGATTCGTCCAAAAGTTTTATTCAAACTTTAGGAAAGATCTGAATGAACTGAATTTAAAAAAAAAAAAAAAGCAAAATCCGTGTTAGGGGAACTTGGATCGATTTTACTCTTGATGTAATTAGGACTCACTTGAACTTGCCCCTTGTTGAATTGGCTATTGATTTAACTATCCTGATAAAGATTTAGGAAATTTAGCCAGTGAACTCACTAGTGGAGTTGTGACCACCTGGGCCAAAAGTGGTCACACTATTGCAAACTTGTTCACTCCTTTGCACAAGATTTTGTTCAAAATTGCCCTTATAAACTGGTCACCCTCTAGGCACAACTCATCCATTAGGCAAGACAATGCTCAGTTTCTTTATGGTATAGTCAAAGGGAAAAATATTGACTTATCTTCCCTGATTTACCAATCCATCAAGACTGCAGCTGAGACTAAAGGCAAGACCCTAGCCTTAGTTTTTCCATCTCTAATTTATTGAATTGTTGACTCCTCTGGTCCTATTAAGCAGTCAAATCAAGTTCATCTCAAAGTAAGGAAGATCTCCTCCAAGACAATCAAATGATTTTTTTTCCTCTATTGCTCCTATCATAGATGTTCCATCATCCTCTCAAGCAGCTTCTGCTACGATTAACACCTAAGAGTCTAGGATTTTTGACTTTTTGCAGCAAATGGAGAAGAAAATGGTTGATTTCCATACCAACTTACTGCTCATGTGGACACTTTAGATCTAGTGAAAGAAACAAGAGCTGCTGCCTTGGGAAAAGAATTAGAGAAGATTGTTTTTTATTATGTCCCTTAAGTCCAAGATAAAGTTGTCAATGAGGTGCCTTCTACTTCTCAAACTCAAAATCCAGATGCTACAAATGTTCCCCCTAGTTCTACTGCTCACAATTAGGCTAAAGACATTAGCACAATTCAAGAGGAGCCGCTGCCTGATCCTTCCGAAGAATTGGAAGCGTTAGGAGACTTTGATGTTGATCCCATTACTACTGATGATGAAGCTGAAGCTTCCACTTAGGATGATGTTGCTGCTGCTGATACTTCTATCAAGGATGCTGACATCGTTGCTACTTCTGATCTGAATGTGCAACTCACTAAAGAAGAAGTACCACTTGATGTGACCACCTAAGAAGTGTCAACTGATGTGATCACCTAAGAGGTGTGCGCCAACTAATGTGGTCACCCCAGTTGGCCCTCTTTTGGCTATAAACACCACTACAACTCCTCCAACTCAGCCTTAAGTGATTGCCCTAGCAAAAAGATGCACAAAATCTACTACTAGAAGAACTCTCCTTGTTAGAAGATCAAACAGGCACAAAGGATGAAGAATTATGAACAAAGAAGGGGAGTAAAAAGCTGAAAAGTTGTCTCAAAAACTCATTTGCCTCTGCCTGTGATGTAGTGGTCACTATGAGTTTTGAAGTGATCACCTTCCTATCCCTAAACTAAACTTTTTTAAAATTTCTATTTGGTTTTTTTATTTTGAACTTTTAAGATTATTAATGTTCAGTTTATAAATTGCAGTATCTTTGTTATTTTGAATGTGCATTTTGTTATTTTTAATATTGTTCTTTCATGTGCAAATAACAAATTTTCTTGTGATCTTTGTGTTAGAGTCATGAAAGTGACTCTATTTTGATGATAAAAAGACCCTATGTGTGATTAATATGAAATCATATTGAGATAATTAAAGAATTTATGAATTTATTCACGAAAATCGCTTCCTAATATTTTTCTTATGAATATAACTTGTTTGGAATAATTTTGGAAAGGGTATGAGTTAATATTAGGTCATGGTTTATGGATTAAGGGTGATTTTGTCTCATTTATGCTGTTTAGGGGGTAAACTGTCATATTTATAAGGGTTGTCACTTTTCAATCATGTAGGGACCAAAGTAATATTTTTCACTGTGTATAAAAAAAACACGAAGGGTCGCATTACAGGGGTGCTGTTCATCTAGTTTTCCTATGACTGTTCATCTTCTTTTTCGGCGATCGTCGGCGACGCTTCATCTTCCTCGTCCACCGATCATCATCATCTCATTGACACAATCGCAAATCACCACCGTGAGACGCGTTTCGCCGCCGCAGCCTTTCGCATTATAGCCGTGATTTCACCATTTTTTGGTGACAGTTGGGTTCCCTGGTGGTCGATCTAGCTTCCCCATGGTCGGATCTATCCATTCCAAGCTTCATCTGCCGTCGAAACCATTAGAATCTGCCATCACCACCGTCACACCTCTTCACCTTTCAACCGCGATCTCTCTCATTTCCAGCGACCCTTCATCTCCCCAGGACCTGATCTGAACTCCCCATCACTAGAGCTTTCCATGGGTACCTTCGGATTTTATTTTCGCCACCATTTGTCGGATGTTTTCCGGTGAGTGTGACTGTTCGTATTCTGGGCTTTCCGTTGGTCATTTTCGCCCCTTCTTCGCATCATATCGCTGTCGGTTACTTCCTCTCCGCCATGATCAGCTTCGTTTCCACAGTTCCAGCCTCCATTGACACCACCATGAGCGGCTGAGTTCCAGGTTGTCTGTTACGGCGTAGACGAGATCGAGATTGACTCCACTGCTCTCCTTATCAGCTCTCGACTAGTTGGATGAGCCCGATTGTAGGACATTTGGTAGTATTGTGTTTCGAATTATATTTGTTTTCGTTTCATGTTTGATTTCAATACTTTAATATGGTTTAAGCATAATTTGTGATGAATATAGTTGTCCATTGTGATTTAATATTTTCATAAAACTTGTTGAATGATAAACGTTGGTTTGAGATAATTAAATGATGAATATTGCTTTTCATTACTTCGCATCGATTGTAATTGAGTTGTGTTCGGATTTAATTTCATTTCTACTATTGTTGCATTTATTGTGAAG